GGTGTAAGATTTCCAAGTTAAGTCCAAGATAGAATATAGAACAATAGGGTTGAAAGGGACCTTGCAGGTCTTCCAGTCCAACCTATATCTCAAGCAGGAGATCCTATATCATTCCAGACAAAAGGCTGTCCAACCTATTCTTGAAAACCTCCAGTGATGGAGGACCCACAACTTCTGCAGATAAGTCATTCCATTGATTAATGGTTCTCACTCTCAGGAAATTTCTCCTTAGTTCTAAGCTGGATCTCTCTTTAATGATTTTCATGGGGGGAAAACCCCCCAATCTTTCTAAACTGTGAAAATATGCTAGCAAAGAGAAAAAATATATGTAGAAATAAGATATTTATTTTTTTGAGCAACTGATAGTTCTCTAAATGAATAACACAATATATAATATTTAGAGGGAGGAATATTAGGTAGAAGTTATATCATTTCATCATACAGTTTTTAAAATTTACGGTTTTAAAGTACACTGTCTTCTAGAACTATTGTTCTACCCTGGACAGAATTCAAAGGAAACTGCAAGGTATCCATGTACTTACTAGAACACTGAAGCAATATAATATAGATGCTCTTTTACAAAACAAGTTATTAATCCAAACTCAGCAAACTTGTAGTGTAATATAGTAGCAAACAAAAAGATAAAAGAAGAACAAGAAGCAAATCTCAAAGTCTCTAGGTCTACAATTACAACAGATAACGAAGAACGCAGTGTTGTAAAAGGCTCTGGGAAAGTTTCTATACAGAGTGGTCTGTACTATGTGTACCAGCTTTACAGTTTTAAATACAAGAGTTTTCAAGCAAAATTTCTATAGTAAGCTAAGAAATAGAAGGCTGGGGATTTAGAAACATACATGCTGAGAACAGCCAGTTAAAAAAAAAGACCAATGGTTTTAGTGAAAACTCAAGCAAAAACAGGATCATTAAAATCACTTGTCCACTGAAAGGAAGGCAAATGAAAAATTACCCACAAGTTTATTTTCAAATCAGATTTTTAACCACACTTGCCACTGATTTCAAGACAAATTACACACTCGAGTAAATATTAATAGTTCTTGCTCTTTCAGCAAAAAGTCACAAAGTAAAAATCAAAACTGGCTTAGTTGTATTTTCATCAGAATAAAGACTATTTTGCACCTGTATTATAATACTGTAGAAATTGGTAGCTTTTTCACCTTCTGATACTCCAAACCTTACACAGAAAAATCACCCAAATTTCAGAGCCCTGGATGCAAATTGAAGCAAACGTATTAACACTCCCTTTACATTATTTCATTTTTCATAAAGAATGTAGAGTGAGGTGAGAAACAGAAACTACTTGTTTACTTTCACCATGATACTTAATGAAACACTTTATCAATGCAGGAACTACTTATGGGAACTAGTAATGGTCACCTAATCACTCAGGATAAATATACACAAAAGAATCCAGTAGTACAATTATTTATTTCTGAAATCACATTCATATCCTAATTCATATTAAACTTTAATCACATTCATATGAGATATTTCTTAAACTTTAACCTACATCACTAATCTCTCAACAACACCCATCCACTCCTACCATTAGATGACAAGTAGAACGGGACTGACCCAAATTCTGTTCATAAAATCATATATTAGGATTAAAAAAAAAAGCACAGTATTTACTTCTTGGAATATTATATAGATTCACTTATTGTGATTTAATAAAACATGTTTAAACAGTGACACAGCATAATGGGAGAATCCAATATGTATTTCAATTTTTGGGAGTAAGAAAATATCTGGCATTATGCACAATGCAGGACTCTGTTGATTAATTTGTAAGCTGCTGGTGTCTTACCTTCAGATGTCTTGCAACTTACAAAAAGGGACTTCAGGCCACACATTCAAAACCACTGATATTGGGAAAAGGAGGTATCAAAGCATTGAACTAATTATATTAAGATTAATTAGTAGAACTGCTCTGATGTTCTGCTTATCTATGGGGGGGGGGTGATTGAGGAAAATATAGAGGTCAACTGGTTTTTTTCTACAAGTGCTAATAATGTTACAGTATTTTGGGGAACATACCGTAAATGGGAACTTGCAAAGATTTGCTAGAACAAAAGGCACAAGAAATTGTTATAAAATAACAAAGACAGCAAGAAATATGTTAATGTACAACACAATTTGAATATTAATCTAGAAGCAATTTTTCCATTTAAGGAAAATAACTTTTCTATTTCAAAATAATATTATTTTAATTCATCCCACACAATACAATAGCTTACTAAATTTAGGTATCTCTCATTTTGAAAATAAATCCATTTCTACCAGCAGCTTTTGAGAATATATCAGTCTCTGAAAAAAAAATTAGATATTATATGTTAATATAGAAGGGCAATATATTTTTTAAACTACAAATAATGAATTTGACATATCTAAGCAGAATTGTATAAATTAGTTTTTAGATAAACTTGTTATTGCCCAGAAGGGAAATTCTGTAGCCAGAATATCTTCATTTTAATCACAATGTATTTCACTAATACCACTGAGCAACCTAGCTATATTGACTGATAAATAATCCTTCTATGCTTAATAATAATCTTATCCCCTAATAAATGGATTACAGTTTAAGGGAATGAGAAGAAGGACTGAAAAACAAAAGTGTTATTTTACATGTATTTGTTACCTTTGTAAGTAAATCTACCCTGCCCTCTCATTCTAGCTTCTATAATGTGTGTGTGTGTATTTGACATACATACACTAATCTATTTAATTAATATAAATTAAAACCGTCCAAAGTTACTTGTTTTGTGAGATGGGTGGCTATATAAATTTGACAACTAAATAAATAAAACCAAAATATTAAACTGTAAATATGGTTATAAAGTCAACAAGACTGCTTTAGTAGTATTCTAGAAAGTTAAATTATTACTAAAATGGGAAAATATTGCTATAGCTTCATGATTAGATTACAATACAATCTTACTAAATTCACTTTTCATAAATTATAAAGGCCAAAAACCAATCCTGGTTCTTATTCTAGAAAATACCTAGTGGTTGTAGGAGATACATAACAGATTACCAAAACATTTCATTTGAAAAATGAAAAGAAAAGAAAAACAAAACCAGAGTATATAGAAAACTGAAAGATGGGTTAACTTTTAAATGGAAAACCTAAAGATAAGTGTTTCAGACTGGCACAATTTGAAATCTAACTAGCAGTTTACTGCCTACAAATCAGCAGCTGAGTGCAAAAGTTCAGCCACAGAGTAAGCACCACTTTGAGAAAAGGTTAACACCAGCAATAACCTGTTTATCCAAGTATTGAACAAATGCTAATCTCAAATTGACGTTGAATCCAACTATCTTCAAATATATTTTTCCTGCAAGAATTTGGTCATAATTATCTTTAGTTTGATAGCCTCCTCTAAACATTCAGAGTGCTTGACACACGTAAACACCCAGAAACTAAACAACAGTATACCTTTCACTATGGCTTCCCAACTTAATTGATCCCAAAGTCCAGCCAAACAAGTAGATTTTAGAACAATTCTAAATGATTCTCAGTACCGGCAGTTTGCAGCTGAAAAGAAATTCATAACAGGAGAACCAATAAAATATGCTCTTGCTCACCAAGCTGGAGAAAAAGATAGTATCATTCAGAAGATGCCATCCGTGATTTCTAGTTAACATAACAAGATACAAGAGAATATGTGATAAAATTCATTTAAACCACACAGACTAAACTAATTTTTAATAATGTTCATGATTGCAGAGCAGGCCAGCTTCCTCTCCCAAAAATCAAGTGCACTGTATAACTAAGACAGATGATTTGGACACCTGAAGAAGGAAATATCCCTGGCAGTAAAAAGGCACCACTAATAAATTAAAGAAATAATAGTTTACAGTGTTTTCGTGACAACCAGATTTAGATAACTAAGCAACCATCTCTCTCTACAGCTGGTTAGAGACAATCATATCAGTAGAGTGGTGATGTGCTAGGCTAGCAGTGGAAAATACTAACAATGTTTTAAACAGAACGTTGGGATGTTAAAAACAAACTCAGTGACAACACCAATGTATGTTAGTATATATAAGTTACTGAAAGACATTTCACAAAATTTGTAGAAAAAAATCTACCTAAAATATTAATATAGTATAAAACTTATTGTATTGGATGAGTTGTTTAGTTTTAACTTTCATGTACCGTATAGATACACTGAGGATCCATAACAATTCCCAATCATGTATATGTGCACAATGAGAAAAAAGCCAACATTAACCAACATTATTGATCTAAAATTTTAACTCAATCTGTATATAAGCATTCATCATGTAAGATCTCTGTATCACACATCTACCAAAGTTATAAAACAAAGGCTGTATTATTGAGACTAGTGAATAGTTAACGAATAGTTGTTAAAGGAAACAAACATTGCTATTCAAGGAAAGATAACCTGAGATGTAAAATAATTGCCAATAATAATACATTCAAGTCTAAGATAAACATCAGATAAGTAAAAGTTCATACATGGCATGATACACATACCAGGCATACATTTCTATTGAAAAAGACTTGTTATTTATTATTTTAGCCTATACATTTGGATACAATCTGGGCCATAAATTCCTCTTGTTTGTTGAGATATTAGCAGTCATAGGTGCATGTATATTAAGCACATAAGACAGATGATGAGTCCAAGTTGGAGACACAATTCAAGGTAATATCTGAATACATACTGGACAGCGAAAAACCTAAACTGATCCTTAAAGTACATTCAGCAACATACATATAAACATAAAATATGGGAGCTGTAGATTAAAGTTTATGAATACAAAGAAAATATGTGAAAGCAAAAGAATCAGTTTACTATTCTGAACTATACCATATAAACACCAAATGTTAAGGACATAATTTAATATCCCCAGAACTTCATCTTTCATTGTAATAATCAAGTACCTTCCATACTTCTGAAGCTCTTTTTCACATTTTCCTTCCCCACTCCCTTCACCAGCCACCATCATCCCACCTTTTTTGAATTCCTCAAGCATGGCATCAAGCTTGGTGTCATTGAAGACAAAGTGCAGTGGGTGGTTATAGAAACGTGTGATGGTCTTGAGTGGAGTGCAATCATCAGGATCCACAAAAGCTAAGTCTTTGACAAAAAGAAGGTCCACAATATTAGAGCGGTCTCCTTCAAAAACCGGGATACGTGTATATCCACTCTCCATGATTTCAGACATAGTGTTGAAATCAAGTACAGCTTCAGCAGTAATCATGAAGCAATCCCGGAGAGGAGTCATTACATCCTCCACAGTTTTGGTGCGCAATTCCAGCGCTCCTTGAATTATATTCAATTCTTCTTTGACCAAATCATTGTAAGGATCAGTGACTCTTAACATTTCAAGTAGCTTCTCACGGTTATAGACAGTACCAATCTCTTGCCCTAAAACACAGTCCAGCAGTTTGCTGACTGGATAAGAGGCTGGAAAGGTCATCATCATAAAGAACTTTGTAAGGAAGATGGTGTTGGCACCCACAGCCAGACCATGCCGGGAACAAATAGCCTGTGGCACAATCTCACCAAAAATGACAATACCAATGGTGGATACTACCACTGCCACCAGTCCAGAACCTGCAATGTCATCGAGCAGTATGGTAAGGGTAGTATTGACCAATACATTACCCAAGAGCAAAGAACAGAGCAAGTAGTTGCCCTGGCGCCGCACAGGCTCAATGCGCTTAGCATAGTTTTTTTCTTTTTCTGTCCCACAATTCTGCACAATACGCAACTCCATAGGATCAAGAGCCATAAGTCCCAGGTTGAGACCACTGAACATGCCAGAAAGACACAACAGGAGGGAGATGAAGATCACCTGAAGCCAGAAGGGTAACAAGAATTTCTTCTCCTCACCTACAATCATCTTGGTGTCCTCACCATCATGATAGATCCAGGTTGTCTCAGTCCAGGGCCCTCCATCAGGACCAATAATGCCACCTCCACCACCAGAGCTCCCAGCCACACTCCCCGCCCCTCCTAGGATAGCAGGGGAAGACACAGAGGTACACAAGTAGTAGGACTTGCTTTTTTCGGTTTTGCGCAACGGCTTGATATCAATCTCGATAATCCCCGAGGTACGGCGGTTGAGGGTAATATGCGGCTGGATGATTATATCCGATGTCCGGATGCCGCAACGCTGCGGGGCCGACGACATGGAACTCACGGGGACCGGGCCATCTTCTTGCTCAGCTGGCGGCCGCCTGCCTTCCCCTTCCCTCCACCGTTCATGCTCAGTGAATGCGATGCGGGACCAGGTCTCGTTATTGATATTCTGCCCGTAGACCCGCAGTTTGACATGAGTTCTCTCGCTCACCCGGAGCACTCCCTTTTCCATAAAGGACACATCGTCCGTGTCTTCCAGCCGTAACCCTATTATCACCGTTTCCTCAGAATCAGATGCCCCGGGCAACGAGGAGGAGGAGGAGAAGGAAGAGGAAGAGGAAGAGGCGGCGCGAGCGGGCTGCTCTCCCAGGCACCGGCTGAGGAGAATCCCTAGCAGCAGCGGCAGCAGCAGCGGCGACCGCGGTAGCATCCGCGTCTCCCTTTCGCCGCCTCCCCCCGGCCCTGCCATGAGCCTGGGAGCAACCGTAGGTAGCGGCGCGGCCGTATTCCAGTAGAAAAAGGTCAGTGGTAACCTGGCCACATTAAACTGAGCGACCTCATTGTGCCAGCGCTTAACGAAGACAGCAAGTAGCGAAGTCCTCGACGGATGACAAGCGACTGCCGGGCCTGGGCCAGGAGCTGCTCCAACCCCTACCCCGAAGGGGACGGGGAGGGGGGGGGGAAAGAGACCCGCGCGTGCGCATCAACCAATGAGGTGAATACAAGCGAGGCAACGGAGGGTGCAGATAAAGAGCAATCGTCCAATCAGGTCGGTCATGAATACAAGGTGGGGACGAGGGCTAGCCGGCCGGTAGGTCGGCCTTCCACTTTTTTCGTGGTTGGGGGAGGGTGAGGAGAGAAGTGCCCGCGCTACACATTGAAGCCGGGGGAGATTTTTTTGTCTAGCGAGACCGGCAAGGAGAATCGGTTTATCCTGGGCTTCTTCCCAGAATCCACGAGTTTTATCCAACCGATGTTATCCCTGCCTATGTTGTTGATCATTACCCCGCAATATAGCTCGAGGGGGAGGGACATCTCTCTCGGCCTTCTTTCCTGTTAAAAGAGCGCGTGATACTTGTGTGTATCTCAGTTTTAACAGGAGCGAACAAAACGCCAATCGGAAGGGAGGACGACGGAGATTGGTGAGAAGATCAGCCAATGGGACGGAGAGTTTACTTCCGGAACCGGGCCTCCTTGCCCTCTTAATCGCGAAGCAAACTCCGCTTGAAGATGAACTATGCTTTAGGCGGCTGGTTTCTCGCTGCTCTAGACTATGTTTGTGCGTGCAACTTTCCCCTCCCCTTCGTTTTCCATCCGAATTTTCCTAGCGGCGTTTTACTCGCAAGAAATACTTTCTTACGGCTCTTCTTTTTTCAGCAGAAAAGTACCAACACGAGTTGTGCTGCCCGACAGCCAAAAACCTAATACGCCTGAGTTGGGAAGGTTGCTCATTGACCTGTCCTTTAGCTTTAATTATAGGACAGTTCAAAGGCAGCGACTGATGGATTCCCAGGGTTTCACTTCGTTTACTGCCCAGCTTCAAGCTCCATGCCAGGAGACTAGAGCTATTTCTGTCCCCAAGAAGCCAGTTTGTCCGTGGTCTTTTGCCCCCAAAGAGCCAAATCTATGAGGCAGAGGACCAGCGGAAGGAAGAAGCGCGTTTGGCCACTGAGAGTGTCTCTGCCTGGTTATTTGCAGTCCCATCTCCTGCGTTGTTGGATAGAGTTCACTAGAATTCAGGATCTTGGTAGACCCATATTAGCAATGACTATTCAAATGACTGAGTTCTAGTGACACTTCTTAGACAAGGAGGGATTATGAGGAGCACCGGGAGGGGGAGCTTTCTCCAACCTTATTCTGCACTCCTGGACTGAGCTTTGATATATCACCTAGGCTAGAAGGAAAAACTGGCAGAAAAGTCAATTTTACTCCATCTTCCCAATTTTGAAAATAACTGCTACAAAAGAATGGAAATTGGTGTCTGGTTCTGCAATATCCAGATACATTTCACGGAATACACAAAATGACACTGTTCTAACTGCCCCAAAGTAATAAAACCATAAAGTACTAAAAGCATTAAAAGCATACAATGCCCTTATTTTGGACAGAACCAGAAAAGTACAGCTGATAAAACATGACTGTTATTGCTAATTTAAACCAATAATTTATGCAAACAGCACTAGTTTTTTTTAAACAGTACTACTGTTTCAAAATGCATGAAAGGGATGTGTCCATTACAGCTGAAAGTGGCCAATGATATAAGAGCAGATCCACCTAGCCCTTATTCTGTTATTGCCAACATAGTGAAACACTGTAGAACGTATGTTCTGCAAAAAGATATTTATTGGAAGAGGAAAGATATTACTTTAAATCTAGAACTCTCTCCAAATGAGAAGGCCTTTTTCATGAAGACATGTCCTTCAAAACAATTTGTCTTTATGTCTCAGAAGGACAGCAGGGTGAGCTCTTTGACTAAGTTCACATTAAGCTGATTTATAAACCATAGTTTATAGATCAAATAGCATTCATAAAACACCCTAAGAGAAAACCAAACCATACATCATTACTTATTACTGTGTGATAAATTTGTATTTTGAAATATGGACTTCAATGTATTCTGTTGGGAGCCGCAGATTACAACAAGGTCAGCTTTGTAGTCCTGCTGAAACCCAAGTCACTGTCTGGAATAGGAGGATAACAGAGGTTTTAAAAAGGATTATACCCAGGCCACCTCTCCTGAGCCATGGACCTTGTTATGCCTCATGATATATTGAGGAATTGAGAGAAATTAAATATATCAAGAGACATCTACGGTAGAGCAATGGCTCCAACATTTTGGACACAAGGGACCAGTTCCGTGAAGAGATGTTTGGCCATGGACTGGAGGGGGCATGGTTGCGCATGCTGCCTGCATCCCACGTATGGAGCTTCACTTGTTTGCGTGGCCCAGTTTCTGGCATGCTGCTACCAGATGCCAGTCTACAAGGGACCCCTGATCTAGAGCACTACTGGCAGGAGATGGAGAACAAACTTGACTGAATATGGGTAAGAGCTACTATTAAGGCCCACTTCATAATTACTCATGTGGCAAATTGGAATTACTTTGCAGAAATTGCATCTGTGAATTACTTAGCAACACTCTGTAAGATGACCTGGTCCCTTCTGGGTAAGGAGGACTCAAATATCTATCTGCAGTGACACACTGAGGAATTGCTGATTTTCTAGAAGATAAAGCCACTCCGATTCATTTCCCGTTGGATACTAGTGTGGACACTGGTCCAGGGAGATGCCTAAGTCCTTGTCCAGGTATCTGGCAATGGGTTTCACCTGTTGCTCCTAAGGAAGTGGGCCGGATTTTAGGGAATGTGAGCTCAGCCATCTGTTTTAAACCCACATCTCCCAGACTGGTAAAAGTCTCCTGGCAGGTGATGCATGGGTAGTCAATGCATCTTTAGATGGGTGTGTGTGTGTGATGCCCCAGTCCTTTAAGGAAGCTGTGCTTGAGCCCTTCTTAAGAAGGCATTGCTAAATCCCATCCTAATGGACAATTTTTGTCCTGTCTCCAATCTTTCCTTTCTGGGGAAGGTTGTTGAGAAGGTGGTCATGCTGCAGCTCCAGAGGATCCTGGGTGAAATAGATTATCTGGACTCTTTTCAGGCAGAGTTTAGGCCTGGTTACAGGACAAAAATTGTATTGGTTATGCTTTTTATAGATGTAGTGTGTCCACCTTTGTTCTACTTGACTTCTCCATGGCCTTTGATATCATTGACTATGGTATTCTGGAAAGATCCCAGGATTGGGAGTTGGGGGCACTGTGTTGTCCTGGTTCATTTTCTTCTTCCAAGGCCATTTATTTAGCCATCTCTCAAAATATGCCTATCAGCTTTGCCTCTTCTTTTGCTTCTTTCTGTGCAAGCTCACAACAAACATGCCCAGTAACAAGAATTTTTATGGCATTACCATTTTGTGTAAGTCTGATCAGCTTAAAAACAACAACACAATCTCCCTTGTAAATGATTTGACATGTGGCAAATGTGTGGTTTTAAAAAGATCCCAGTTCAAAACTGCTTTTATTTGCCAAAGCATTTGAAGTGGTGCAGTTTGGGTTGCTCTGTTCTGATATTTATCTTGGGCTGTTACATAAGGTTTTTATTTATTACTTTATTGGATTTGTCATGTAAATTTTATTCTGGACATATTTACTTTACACTGCTCTACTATCCTCATGGATAAACACTATTAAAACATATTTAAGACTAGGATATAAATATTCAGGGATTTTAAAAATATTTCCTTGTGAAATTCATTTGATGAAATTTATATGTTTTTCGAACACTCAGATTATTTTGTAGTCTGTACGTTAAACAAGCAGCCTGTTCTAATTTATGAAAAGCCATAATGAGTTTAGTTTCTTTTTAGCTTATAATATTATATAAATCTGGCCATGGAAGTTTAGAAACTGTGGCTCATAGTTTAGTACCTGTGTGAACAAGTCATCTGTGGTTTATACAATAAACTATATTTAAACAATGCATGTTTTTGCATACATGTGAAGTAGATCTGAACATGGAACACCTTTTTTACAAGAAAATTCTTCAAATAGAATATTCTTACAGTGCACAATTCAAGCATGAATCTCATAATGGCAGCCAATATTCCAGCATGGATAAAATCAAATCAAACATACATTGAAAATGAAATTCTGGAAGTTCTCCCATACGTTTTAAGTGAATTTTGTGGAGATTTCCACTAATAACATAGAACTTATACGCTACAGATATTCTTTTAAACTGCACGTGTAATCTATTAGACTCATGGTCTCCCAATTTCTGCCTTACCCACTGTACCAAACTTGCTTTCAAAAGATATATAAATATATCTTAATTATTGTTGTATACCATCCAGAGGTGCTTTTTGTGAGGTGGGCCGCTGTACAAATTTGGTTGAATGAATGAATGTCTATTCTGGATGATTTGATAACATTTTTCAGCATTTGCCTCACAAATATGATGACAGAAATGTACTTTTTTTTAGATCCTAAAGTTCTCTTCTCTTTGCTACTATTTGGGCTGGTTGTTTCCTTTCTCCAGTTTGCTTATTATGGCAGCATGTCTCCCTCTGCTGTCAATATTAAAAACCAATAGCACTAACACAGGAAGATTATGCAGAAGTAAATACTTGGTCCAGTAAGGTTTAGGACTGCAGTTTAAATCATCATTGATGGAAGCACCAGGTTTTTCTGCAAGGAAATTTTCAAGATTCTTCTTCCTCTCTTGCCTCGGTTTTAAAGTCCTGGAAGTTTTACTTTAAAATGGCAGTCAAAACCTCAATACAAAGCGAAAAAAAATTGACTACTCATCATGCCTAGGTATGCTGTGTATAGAAGGAAGGGGAGGGGGTATAAATGCCAAATTTTTGCAATCCTATCATTATCATCCACCATATGCAGAGGGAGAATGTGTGCAGTAGAGAACCTCTATGGCAGCGGTTCTCAACCTATGGGTCGCGACCCCATTTGGGGTCGAACGACCATTTTACGGGGGTCGCCAAACAATGCGATCCGCCATTTTTCCTCCTCAGGGGGCGGTGCCACGCATGCGCAGCATGTCTGTGTGACGGGGGTCGCCATCACACAAAGGTTGAGAACCGCTGCTCTATGGGATTCAAAATTCTAGAAATCAAGATATGACCACCCTTTTTACTGCACACCCAATTTTTGGAATAGAACCCACAGCTTGTCATTCAAATACCAAACATGCCTTACCTTTTTATCCTTCTGGAAGGCTGTGATGACCTGGTTCTTCCCCCCAAGCACTGGGATAGGACACAGAATGAGGTAGGAAACTGGTCCTTGCCTGGAGGGAAGGGTACTTCTATTTTTATTTCAGTAATGGCCTTGAATTTTAAGGGGCCCAGAAAGCAAAATGTTAGGATCTAGCATTACAAACATGTTTGAAATCAGTACATCCTACTGGCATTGTTGCAGAAAGTTGTAACAGCTTTCAACGTGCTGCCCTTTGGCCATTCTTTCCTGAAATTGTTTACAGCTTTTCTGGCTTGAATTGTAGACAGGGCAAATCCAGAAACAGATATAAACACTTAAGAATGTGGTTTTCATGGATAGCAGTTTCTAGAGAACACTCAAAGGACTTTTATCAGTTACTTGCATACAGTTATGTTACTGCTCTCAGACTGAGGCCACCCAGCTTCAAGTCCATCATCCATGGAAACTCTTTCTAATCCCATCCTGAGGGTACCAAAGCTGTAATGGGGATAAACGTTTAAAGAGATCCCATGTAAACTGCCTTGAGCTCCTGGAACAAAACAGAAGAAAAACCTAACAAATAAAATATACCAATAAAGTTTGGCAACGGTTCTCAGTCTAGTGATGGAAATAGGCAGCAGAGAGAGGATTATCTTTGCAAGGAGAAAGCTGTTGTTGGGAACAACCTGTTCTTCCTAATTTGCTCAAAACAAGTGGAGCAACATTAGCCTTAGCCACCCTTTTCCATTACATGTTATAAAAAAAACAAAATAGTTGGAATTTTTTGCTTGATGTAGGACAGCGCTCACTTATACAAATCTATATGAGGGCATGGCAATTAAGGTCTTCAGCTTTATTCATCCATTGTCCATGAGTGCTTCTAAAACTTTAATTGTACTCTTTTGGTTAAGCAGATCTCAAACTGAAAAAAACAATTAAAAATTAAAACCACAATTTTCTAGTAGGTTAAATGAGCGCTATGAAGATAAAGACTTGTTTGCAATCAGGCTGCTTTTTAAGAAGTGAAAATATGCAGCAGTGTTGTTGCATTCTTATCAGTGATTTTATGAGGTTCTGCAATAAAGTAATTAAAAATTAACTCTAACAGGCTTCAGGCACAATGCTTCCTGCTTTTTATATGACCCCCTGCTTTTCATTTGACATTTCTTTATTGCACTCTCTTCCTGGGGATTAAACATTTAATATTGATAAAGTGACATAATATAAAAATAACTTCACAGCATATAATTCAGGATTTTCATGAGATCAAAACATTAAATACCAATAGTACCATAAATGAGATGTTTTGTTTTATTGTTCAATAAAAACCCTTTGAAATGTTAATTTTGTTTTTTAAAGGTAGAAGTAGTGAATTAATTATATTTGCAAGGCATTCATACTTCTGGTCTGGCCATTAAAATACTCATGTAAAATATGAATGAATTTTCCATATATACATGTCAGAATTGTCAAATATATATTTAATTCAAGAGCAATATTAATTCCAAACTTTGAAAACCAAAGGGGGGTTCTGTGCAAGACCCCCTGATGATCCACTTAGAATTGCCAAGGTTGAGCTTAAGACACTCGTTCTCCATCCAGGACCATGCTGCCTCCAGATGCAGCAAAATATCTTGATAGCATCACTTGGCTGGGGCAGGGTAGAGAACTTTAACTGATTATTACCAGCATAGTGATGATATCTAACCCTGTGCTGATGTCCATCCTCTTTAGTTCATTTCATGCAGACATCTTTCTCTGTTTTTCCTTGCTTTTTCCCTGCTATTGCAAGCTCTGACATATCATCCCTGTGAATCCTGACTCCATTACATCATCAGCAATTTATCCAGTCAACTGTTTAATTTTAAAGTGTAATTTGAGAATTTTACTCCTAAAATGGACTTCAATCATGTCGGTTCTCTCTATAAAAGGAGAAAAAAACAGGATTGTTCCCTGTCTCCTTTCTATTTCTATAATTTGGCTCCTGAGCATCCTATCACTGACCTGTTCAATTTCCCATCAAATTTTAGCCAGTCTTTTGTCCAAACTTTTTTCCACAGTTTCAAACTTAGCTTCTAGAGATTGTGTCAGTCTTTTAATGATGATGATGATGATGATAATAAAGTTGGGAGGGACCTTGGAGGTCATCTAGTCCAACCCCCTGTTCAGGCAGGAAACCCTATACCATTTCAGAGAAATAGCTGTCCAGTCTCTTCTTAAAAGATTCCAGTGTTGGAGCATTCACCGCTTTTGGAGGCAGGTTGTTCCACTGGTTAATTATTCTAACTGTCAGGAAGTTTCTCCTTAGTTCTAGGTTGCTTCTCTCCTTGATTAGTTTCCATCCGTTGCTTCTTGTCCTGCCTTCAGGTGCTTTGGAAAATAGCTTCACTCCCTCTTCTTTGTGGCAGCCCCTGAGATATTGGAACACTGCTATCATGTCCCCCTCATCCTTCTCTTCATTAAACTAGACATACCCAATTCCAGCAGCCGTTTCTTATATGCTTTAGCCTCCAGTCCCCTAATCATCTTTTACCCAAGTCATCAAGACTGATTTTGTCAGATTCAATGGGAAAGATGATCATAGGTGAGCTTGTATATATTACAGACAAAATGGAAAAATTCTCCACCTGAAGGCTGCCAGTTCTGGTTCTTTTTTATTATGAAAATTCTATTTTTTAAAAATAGTATAATATACAGCATGCATTTTAAAAATCTATTATAAAATGAATTTTTAATTCTCTATTTAGAAATTAATTTTAAATATCTTAAACTTTGGAACTGAAGAACAAAGTGATGTTATATAACACATTGTTGATTATATACCTCACTAGGTTTAATTTCTGTGAAAGTCTAAAGAGCAAAATATTGCTCACCTGTTCAGATGCTTGGAGATATGATAATGCTTTAGACTGGGCAGAAGTATAATCTGTTTATTATTCCTTTTTCCCTCTTGCAGTCTTTTGCTGTTTTATGCTAGTCAGAAAAAATGTAAGTACTGTTGCAGAGCAGGTATCACAAACCTATGCACAATACAATCCTAACTAAAGTTACAAGATTGATTCTTACTGTCTAGTAATATTGTCTCAATTTACCAAGACTATCTTAACATTTTCCAGAGGTATGCCTAATTCATATGTGCATATATATTGCCAGTTCTTTAAACTGTATGCCATGGCTATCAGATTTGAGCTGCAAAATTCTGGACAGCTACAAAGAGATACCTATGTCAGTTATTTGCTACCATCTGAATTATTGTAGTCCTATCTGGATTATTGTAGGCCTTTCTGGTAGCCCTGCTCTGTATTTGATTCTTATGAGATAATCCATTAATTAACATAGTAAAATGCAAAATTTGCAATTATATCAGTAATATAAACAGTATTACATCAGTCACAGCACAGACTCATTAGCCAGTAATTACTAGGTCACATAGTTAGGTTTCTGCAATTTATTTAAAAAGCTACCCACTTTGAATTTGTTGTGCATACTAACCCAGTAAACCATGATTTAAAAATCAGAAGAGTACACACAATATGGACTGAAAACCAGAATAATTACATTATGATTTAGCTTGATGGTAACCTAGGCCAACTCTGCATAGTTTTGTCTGAAGAGGCTGCACCACATTCCGTATACTATACTGTGTAAACCACAACTTCAAAACTAGTAAAAAAAAGTATTATTTACCCCCTATCATTGTAAAAAATACAAAAGAAAAGCTGGGGAGAAATGCCCTATCCCTTTGAGTTTATAAAAGACTACAATGTCTGTTTTCCTGATTTAGGTAACTAAAGTTTAACCACAAAGTCAGAAAAGGTGAAGGAAGTTTAAAAAAAAAAAATTCTTGGCTTTCACTGACTTTCTAACACAGTAGATGATCTGGCATTTAGGAATGGCCTTTTTACCAATGCAGGCTTAAAGAAATACGGATAAAACTCTCCAGGAATCTCAACAGGAATTTGAAGACCTGCAGTAAGGTTTCATGTCTTTTTAATGAAGCTGGTTTTTACAGGCATCAGCGCTTTCTTTCTTACTCTAAAGAACATCTTTGATGCCAAAAGTAATTAGATGAAATATTCCAGCTAGAATATTTTCAGAAATATTTTTTAATACTAGTAAATGGAAGAAAGAACAGAAGACAGAGTCTGTTTAGAGATTTACTTTATCTTTTTTTCTGGTTCCAATATCAAACAGGTCTTTATTCTGTCCTTTCCTGTATTATTAATCAGTTACACACTTTTAAGGGAGAAAAAAACTTAAACTTTCAAAAATATACCAGCATTGATACCATCAGCTTGATTGCTCTTATTTTTCCATTCAGCTGAGAGACATGGTACAAAATTGAATGAGGATCAGGAATGGAGATATAAATCTGGAGATCATCAGCATATTGATGATAGCTCACCCCAAATCCTTGGATCACCTCACCCAATGGGTCTAGGGCCTTGGCTGCACTCACTTTATGCCTTCTCAACCCATGCACAGCTAGATTTCCTCCTCTGTTGGCCCTCCCCAGCGATTCTCAATGGCCAATGACCATGTTCATAAATAGGCTGGTGACCATGGAACAAAATGCCAGGGGCAAATGATGCCTGGGAAAAAGGGCCAGGCCAAAGGGCTGGGGGCAGAGGGCCAGGGGCCCATTAGTCATGAAAAATTGCTGGGGGAGGGCCAGCAGAGGAGGAAAGCTAGTTGCGAACATGCTGAAGCATGTGGCTGGGGGCAAAGTGGGCATGGCCAATGGTGGGCGCCTAAATTTCCCATTCCGCTCCCAGTTGCCTCATCTAAATTTTGAAATAGAAGGAGCGATAACTGAGCCCTGGGGCATACAATAAAGTGGGGGCCACAGGTTGGATCTCTAACCCTAATTGGAATTGACCCCAGAGGAACAAGAAGAACCAATACAAGAGTGGTACCCACTCCCAATTCCCAAAATCAGTCAAAATCAGTCCAGAAGGATATGATCGATGGTACCAAAGACCACTCAGAGTGAGGATGGTCACACTGCTGTCATCTCAGTTCTAAAACTGGCCTGAAAAGGTCCAGATAATTTGCTTCATCCAGAATCCTCTACATCAGCCATGAAAATATCATCTCCACAACGTTTCCCAAATAAGGGAAGGTTGGAGGCTGGGCAAAGGTTATCTAAGCTGGTTGGATCAAGCAATGGCCCCTTCTGGAGAGGGTGCACCAATGCTTTCTTGAGAGCCAATAGAACCATACCCTCTCTCAAGGAATGATTAAACAAAACCCAGACCTTTAACCAGCCAAAAGAGACAAGGATCTAACACAGAGATGGCCAAAGTAGTAGCAGCAAGAACCCTGTCCACTTTCTCAGGTAGTCCCTTATAACACATTTTCATTTGCACCCAATTACAAAATATTCATCAATTAAACAGGACATCTAAAGGTTATGATTTATTATTGTATACATTATCCTGTTTCAAACCATGCTGTTTTTTCTTGTGTATTTTTTGTGTGTGAATTCCAGGCTGAATATTGTATCTTTATTTCAAAATTACATTGTAAGACTAAGTAGCATCCACTGCA